TGTGAGGTTCTTTTAGAAACGGAGGGAGTATATTCCAACCAGTGGCGAACAAAACAAAAAAAATTAAAACTGAATCGGCATATTAAAGGCCGAAACGAAACACCTGACTCCGACTCCAATCGCCGATCCAGAGAAAAAAAACAAGAAACATTCGATCAAAACATAAGGATTCGATCACTCTAAATAATTCAATATTCAATATGAAGGTGGCTCTGATACCAATTGTTGGAATAAATCCGATAATATTTTAATCTTCATATTGGAATTATCTAGAGAATTAACTGAGCGGAAGCGTACCTGACTCTATAGGAGATATCTTTGGAGATCCGGGAGACGGAGGCTAGGGTTTGCATCTTCTAGTTATACACACCCTCGGGAATTATCTCTCTAGCGATGGGATGCAGAAAGACGGAATGATGTGTTCAACTAGGGACCATAACTCCTCTATTTATAAAGAATGCTTAACCCTAATCAGCCCATCATTAATTAAGTTAAGCCCATGAGTTTCTACACAATTGGGCCCTATACCTTATTAGATAACTTATTAGCCCACTTAAATTAATATCAGGACCACTAATTTTTGGGCTAAATATAAGATAGCATATACTACGTAACATACAATTAATCCAATAAATAATATACTGTGAATATTATATGTAGTATAAGTCCAATAATCTAACAACGATAACCACTCATTATTCCTAAAATATATGTGGCATTTGGGGTTGTCTTTTAAGAAAGTAGGTTGAAATATAATTAAAAATACGGCTTCCATTGCTCTCCAGAAATCAAGGCAAGATTGACTGTGAATTTGAGGTGAGGAATTGAGGTAGCTTTCATATTTTGTGTTTTGGTCTGATTGTGTCCATAGTGGCTTTGATCAAACAATAGCAACAACGGTTTTGGTCAAGAGAAAGCTATTGCCAACAAAGTCAAATGACATTGCCAGCAAACTGATGTACTCCGTAATAATGTTACATATATAGAATCGGCTGAATTTTTAGCAAAAAATCTATAAAGTACATTATGAATGATCTGTTGGAAAATTGAGAGAAAAAAAAGGATGACACCCCATCCCTGAGGGGCCCCCACCACTGTTGAAAAATTGAGAGTATTTCAAATGAATAAAATATTATTGTTAAACTACAATGAGAGTATTAAATGTGTTAGGGTTTTATCTTCCTTGGTAATAATGTTGAGGTAACGTTTACTATCATTAATCTTTAATAAATAGCATTTTCATAAGTATATAGTTTTCTAAACGTACGGTTGCAAATTAGCAAGGCTGCAAGGATTATTTTCTCAAAATTGATTTCAAAGATTAAATTCTTAATGTGGGTTCACACCGGTTGATTCATATTCTCTCATGCATGCATAACCAATATAATTTATTAAGTGTTATTAATTAATATAGGTTAATGCTAAGGTTTTGGGTTGTAACGTCTATTAACATCCTGTTAATGTGTTAAACAATTGGCTTGAATATAAAATGCATACATATACTACGGGGTACTTCGTATAAGCATGTATGCATTGATACATATTGGGGAGAGTGTCAAGTCTTGTTGACACTAAACGTATGCATATCATATGAGAGAAGCCGAGTGGGTTAGAAATCATGGTTTATATTATAAACATGAAAATCATACATACAACTGGGAGATGAATTAGAAATTACGTTTTTCTCAAATTATTACTGGGTTCATATACTGTTTTCTTCTCGTTAGTTCTGGTACCGGTTTGATAACCGAAGGGCTCGTTATATCTTGGGGGAAATTTTCGTACGCCGGAAATAATTCCTTAGGACAGCGTCTGACGCGTCTCGAGCCACTAATATATATAATTTTAGTTCTTTTTAGTGATTACTTTGCAGGTCGATTCTCAGAGCTAGATAGTCAACGAAGTCAATTGAGGAGCAACACGGTTAACACGTTGAATTTGGAAGGATAGAGCCAACATCATCGAGCAAGAGTTAGATATTGAGATAGAGACAAGTAAGCCTTGAACCGGGATATGGCTAGAAAAATAAAAGATAGCAATGTGATGTAGGTGTCGAGGTATATGTGTGCAGCCTATGATAGTATGATGTCTGTTATTAAAATTGTGTTGGGTTTACAGATCTGTTCAGTTCTTAAAATCTGTTATTTTTTCCTTTTATCATACTCACTAAAAGTGGCCTCCTAACATGTATAGCCTGTTTGTTAGCTATAACACATTTATTGATCTTATAAATATATTTGAGGAGACTATATATTGCAAGGGTTGTTGAATGCATTCACCGTACGTTAATTATTTTTTCTTTCTAGCTTTTACTCTAATTTCTCTTTAGTAATATTAGGGGTATTTGAGAACATATAGCTATTATTTCGTGTTCTCATTGAGAAAGAAAATATCAAGTAAGACCCTTCTTACTTAAAAAAACACGCTCGCAGATACCAGTGGTTAAGTTCTGCTTAGACCAGGAGAACTTGACCTGCACAACAGCAACCTTCCGAGCTGAGAGGGAGGCTAATCGACTCGAACAAAAAGTATTGGACCATCTCAGGGACTAAGGAACCAGATCCAGCATAACACCACAAGCCTGGCCATAACGGTGGTTGATTTGGAGACGACATTGTCCGTCTCGTTGACAATCATACAAGCATCCAACATCATCCCAACTTGCAGTCTACCATACCACTTCAGGTTGTCATGCCACAAACGCGATAGAACCTCAAACCTATGCCAATGCCTCTTAAGGTTCTAGCACCCATCACAGCGGCATTCACGCCACTAATACGACCTCGTAAGATGGCCACTCAGATCATCAAGGAAAAAAAAGAGGAGTAGAACCAAATCTCACCCCGTCTTTTGACTTAGGTGAGAAGGGGCGTCCTAGTTTATGCTTTGGTGCTTCCACGCAGGGGGCGGTCCTCATTGCATAGCCTTGTAGGATGGGTAGGGTGCAACAGTGAATGCATTCAACAACCCTTGCAATAGTCTCCTCAGATATATTTATAAGATCAATAAATGTGTTATAGCTAACAAACAGGGTATACATGTTAGGAGGCCACTTTTAGTGAGTATGGCCGATTTAATAGGTGAAGTGCCCAAAGTCAAGTGCCTTCGGCCTCGTGTCGAGGCCGAAGCTAAAGTAGTTCCTTTTTTAAGCATAGTTCTGGTTGTGAACTGACTCGGAGTGTTCTGCTAGTCCATAAGAAGATGTGGATCATGGGTATAAACTCATATACTCCATCATTGGTTTTGGTACGCTCATCTAATGATCGAACTTAGCCCTAGCTTCACATGCTTCAAGTGCTGCATTATTTGTTTGATGACCACATTGGGTACACATTCAGCGATCTCAAATGAGAGGATCAAGGCCCCATAATCCTTTGGTGGACTGAGACCCTCGTTCAAGACTATTATTTACAAATGGGCCTTTTGTATCGCTCCCCATGTTGTTGTTGTCTCTCCTCGTGCGCCTGTGATTGTACTTAGATAACTAGATCTAGTAACAATGAGGGGAACAAATAAGCCTCGACTTCCCTCTCCGTTATGATTGTGACGTTGCTCTTCTCCCTTTCACCCGATCCATTTGCTCCTAGGAGTCTTAGCTTCCGTTTACCCAGACAACAACTACATTCTCCACATTCCTTCTCAATACAACTTGCTCTTGACATACAATTTTGACTTCGAATCGAAGGCGGTGATGGCAACATGGTCGATTGTTGCACTCCTCATTGGATTGCCTAGATAGGTTGACCATTGAGTAGTCGAGATGAGCAAGTTTTCCAATAGGGACAAACTGTGCTATAGGTTGGTGATTGGAAGTCCCATCGCCGTTAGATGCATCAAGCACATGCAAAGCATGAGCTTGGAGTTTTGTTTGCATCTTAACGAAGAGGGCCTTCTTGGACTCCTCGAGCGTGCAACATCAAATAAGCAAGTTTCCGCAAGGTCCCTAAGACCTAGTGCATTCTCTTACTGAAGATTATACGTAGTTTTTTTCCCAACTTAGACGAGGCTGTGGTCTTAGCCAAGTTTTCCATATCATGTATCGAGGTTGCGGTTCCCTAGCGAGTTGTCTTTGAAACTTCCTTATGAGATATTTTATAAACAAATATTTTGGGGAGATTCTAACTTGATCTCCAAGACTCTAAATGACAGAAATAGTGAACGTGATGATGGGTTATTAGAACCCAGATATAGAGAGAAGTTGGAGTAAATTCTAGAGAGAGGATATAATTTCTTTCATTTATAACACAGATAGTGAGAAATCAATGCCTCTTTCCACAATATGAAAATGGGTAGTTATATTACGATATCCTGCACAAAGTTATCTCTAGGCCTCTAGAAATTGTACATGTGTACTTAATTATTCGTGTCATTACTTAATTATTTGTGATGCCATCACAAACGTAATGGTGTCAACCTGATCATCTCTGCTAATACACTTATTTTGGCTAAGAGTCGTGTCTTCAGAGTCATCTTCCATATCCCCTTATTTATCTGGCCCAAAGGTATGTGCCAAGATACTGCATCACGAAGTTTGTGAGTTTTTTATGTATTAAATTTCAGAGAGGCATTACAAAAGAATATGCTACCTAACAGATTAACATATAAACTACTACCTCCGTCCCATATTTATCTTCATAGTTCGGTTTACGATGCTTGACTGACGATAAAGCAACTCGACCCCTGTTCACACTCGGATTATTTTTAGTAAATAAAATTTACATATTCAGAAACTACATTAAAACCGCTACAAAAGCCTGATCAAGAAATTTTAAGTTTGATAAAAATTTGATATATAAAGTAAAAGATTAAGAGTAATTTGAGTTGACCATGTGAATAGTAACTATGAAGATAATTTTGGGACGGAGGGAGTATTAATTTATCGTGTCCCATTTTTGTCGGCCATATCACTATTTAGCTATATATGATAATAGAAAATATATGTTTCGATTATATTATACATCGTACGGAGTATTATATTATGAGCTCATTTGGTAACCGCATTTTCAAATAATATATGCACTTGCACTATATTAATATTTTATTAACATTAGAGTAAATTTCCACCCATAAGGTGGAATCGTCCACCCCAAACACCCCACACCCCGACCCACAAATGGTGGAGAAGCCCATATATTTCTATCATCCGTATGTGCAACAGTGCAAGTGCAGTTGGTTAGGGGATGGAGGGATCAAATAAATTATAGTATATGCATATGACTTGCTAATGCCTCTGATCGGTATAGACAGCATCAACATCATCAAGCTCGAGTAGTTTTGCCATTAATTCTTTGTTCAACTCCATAGCCTCATCATCTACCTGCAATCACAAAACAGCACTATTACTCCTCTTGCTGCATGGCATTCCAGATATAAGCCATTTAAAAATCTATTTTGTTAAAAGGTTCCCCAAGTGCTGTCATATTTTGGCTAAATTGTATGTAGTAAAAATGATTGGTTTATGAAAAGCATGCAACAAAGTTGTACCACAACAAGTTAAATAATGTTTTTTACTCTTTTGAATTAACAGCCTGCATTTCTCGATTCCATATTTACTAAACAGGGACTAGGAAAGTTAAATACCCATAAAGCGCTGTCTATTGTGTACATTTTATGGAATCCACAAGCACTGAAATTAAAATAGCAAAATGTACTTGATATTAGTTAATTATTCAAAACACACGATAATAAAAAATAGAAAATAAAGAAAATAGCTAATAGTCTAATACTCATTGTTCCACAACAGTTTTCTGGTTGAAGATTTCTTTGTCCAAAAAATCAACTTTAAGATCTACCTTATTTAAGTATAAATGTATAACAAAATTGCTACAAAGTGCAGATAAATCTTTTAAGTGATATTTTCCAATTTTGGGAATAAACTTTGGGAGTATAATTGTCATTCTAAATTTGTAAACGGTTCTAAATAAATTGAGTAAAAGAAGCACCTTGATCAATATGGCTCTTTTTTATACAAAGTGAGTAATGAAACTTGAAAGTCAACAAACAAAAATATGACTCAGTTTCTTATTGGACAAAGTGATCAAATAAAACTAAATTATCTCAAATTTTAAATTTCTTTTTCACGGCATCCCAATTGCTACCGTCACTTTTGAGGCCCAATCATTGTCGCACACCCAACGATCACCTCCACCAACCACCTCTAGACACTAGAAAAAAATTGAAACAAAAGGAACCAATGATGGTGATATGTGGTGTCATTCACACTGGCCAAGTCAGCAGCAGTGGTATGCTAATAGTGACATATTTAATCTATTTTTGAGAATGTTTAAGGAGCCATACTTTTATCCATGAGTTTACTTTAGAAATATAGGAAGAAAACCCCTTAACATTTTTTTAAAATTGTTTCATATTAGTGAAAATTTAAAAAACTTCTAAAAACCCGAAAGCTATTTGTGTAATAATAAGGAATAATGGCCTCAGCTTTAAAAGGCGTGAGGCAGCATGAGGTCATTTGGGTGAATTTACCTAAGGCATGAGGCCCGCGCCTCACCGAACTTAACTAACTTTGGTAAAATATATTTATACTATTTCTACATGAAGCTCTCTTCAATAAAAATGATTACATCACAAAATACCTTAAGCCATTATACATGCTTAATAAACACCTTAAGAGAAACAAAATATTTATTCAAACCCTAGCAAGAAACATATTAAATGCCAAACTACCTACAAAAATTTAGGCATAATGGACCATTGGTGGACAAATATACTAACAAACATTCAAGTTTCTCTAATAATAGTGAAGGAATAAAAATTTAAACAATATGCTATGATTAGACTATTGCAGGGCTACTGCCTAACTATTACTTATATATAAAACAACTAATAGTAATTGTTTAATAAACGGTTACATAATAAACTGTCATATATAACTGTTATATAATAAACTATAAATAATACACAATTAATAGTAATTTTTTAACAATTTGTTATATAATAAACTGTTAATAGTAATTTTAATACAATTAACAGTAAATGTTTTAATAAACTGTTACTCCATATAAAATAAATTCTTAATAATAATAAACTGTCATATATACACGGAAAATATTAATTTTTATTGAATTTTTGACAGTAAACATTTAAGCAATCCAATTGTAGAAACTAGAAACCATATTTTTTATTATATAAAACTGATGGATTAGGGTTTAGAGCAGATTGTTGTATGTTTATATATTTAAATAATGTAAAGTTCAATTATTTGATAAATATTAAATTATAAAATAAAAAGAGAAGAAAGAGTAAAAGGAGTCGGGGAAAGGCGAAAGAATACAGAGGAGCCGAAGATAGTGACAAAATTTCTGGAAAGTGAATCGCAAAAGGTCTCTCAGGAAAGATAGTCGACGCCCAGAGGCGCTAAATAGTGCACAAAGCAGAAAAAGGCGAGGGTAGGGCGCGCATATGGGTATCCACTGCGCCGGGGAATAATCGATGCAATATCCGCATTGCCTAGAGGCGCCTCACGCTTTTTAAACTAAGATAATGACAGGAAAAGAAGTCACACATATTAAAGAAACCCAAATTGGGTGATTGACATATTAATTTCAACTCCATTAAGTTATTAATAGATTTTGAACACTATAATTAATACCACGCTTTGGGAATTTCACAAAAATACTTTCAGTTTGTTGACAGTTTCACAATAACTCAGAAATAATGTAATCCAATAAATCTTTTTTTTTTTTGTGAATCATCTAGGACTATTGCTGTATGTTAACATTTCCATTAAGGATGATCTAGTAAAATACGATTTGTTGGTGCCCGAATTTACACATGTTAGTACTCTAACATGTTTGCAATAGAGCCAAAGACTCGCTATTTTTTGGCTTGAGAATATAATGGAATAAAACAAAATGGCTCACTAAATTGTCTCTGTTTCTTTGTTATGATGCAGCAGTCAGTCCATGCAATTTGACGCGATTTTCACTATGTGTCATCCGGAAACAGTCTCTTTGTGCTTTAGAACAAGATAAAGACTGCGTACATCCGACCCCCCTTACCCTACCGTAGGTGGGAGCCTTTGCGGCACTGGGGTGATGATGATGATGATGAGTACTCCTCTAAAAGGATACTAGTGGAGGATGAGGAAAAAATGGAGGTGGAGGTCAAACTTTGGTACATTGTTCAATGAAAAAAAGCGCAAGATATTGATGTGCCAGATTGTATGGTATGTCGAGATTTTATGAGAATGATCCAAACAGTAGAAGTTAAAGAGACTCTGAAAAAGATGGGGCAAAAGAAAGCAATGGGTCCATATGGCATACCGGTTGAGGATTGAGAAGTTTGGGGGAGAGAGGTGTCGAGTGATTAACACCTTTTTGAACAAGATTTGGAGAAACAACAAAATGTCAACGAGTTGACAGAAGATACTCTTATACTCTTATTGAAGAATAAGGGTGATGTACAAGATATGTCAACTATCGACGGATTAAGCTTATGAGTTCACAATGAAACTTTGGGGGAAAATGATTGAGCAAAAGCATCGAAAAAGTGAAGATTTTGGAGAATCAATTTGATTTAATGTTTGGTTGCTCTGCAACACAAGTCATTCACCTTCATAGGCAATTTGGGGAGAAGTATAGAGACGCGAACAAGGATCTACACATGATGTTCATTGACTAAGAAAATGTGTATGATAGGGTACCTCGAGTCTTTTGATGGGTGTTTACTAGAAAAGGCATATCACATAACTATATCGCTATCATCATAGATATGTATGAGAGTTGTACTACAAGTGTCCGTACTACGTACTAGTGTAGGCATAGTTTAAAAAGGCGCTTGAGGTGCGCCTCAATGTGAGGCGTACAGATAGGAAACCAGGGCTTGGGTTTGTTTCGCAATTTAAGAGGTTCACGCCTCAAAAGTTGAGGCATACGCATTGAGGTGCGCCCTGAGGCATTTTTGAGGCGTTTTTGAGGCGTTTTTTCTTTGTTTCTCTGTTTTTAATGTGCAGTAACTTAAAAAAGGACCAAGGTATTTCATTTAATAAAAGGTCCTAAGGACTTTTTAAAATAGAAATCTATTAATTAAACATGTGGCCACACTAAACCTTAAGAAATCTTATTTCATTTAGACCACAACAAGTTTTTTATTCATTTAAACTCTAAGCCCATAACGTATACTTTCTATTCATCTTTCAGTTTGTGTGATGTTTCTGTGTATGGTATGTCAGTTTGTGTGTGATGTTTCTGTTTGTGTGTTTGAATCCTAATGACTTACTAGTATTAGCTCATATGTGTTTGTGTTTCACACTTTTTGGACTTATAATTAGGGATATATCCTTTACATCTTTAGTTGGTTGTTTCTAGTTTAACTATTTTAAGTTTTATGTCTATATATTTTGAGGCTTATGCCTTGCCTTTTAGGAACAACCCGCCTTGATACCTGAACCCGCCTTTTTAAACCTTGAGTGTAGGGAGCACTACAGAGTTCCTTATTATTATCGGAGTGCATCAAGGATTGGCTCCGAATACTTTCTTATTTGATATATTCAAGAAGATATATCATGGTGTGTGAGGTTCATCGATAATATTGTAGATATTCTTATCAAGATCGCCATGTAGAAATGATGTCTTAACATCTAGTTGCTCTAGATGTAATCCCTCTGCAGCTACAATGCTTAGAACCAATCTGATGGTGGTCATTCTAACAATTGGAGAAAATATCTCATTATAATTCACTCCCTTTTTATACTGAAAACCTTTGACCACTAAACGGGTTTTGTACCGTTTTGACCCACCAAGTTCATCCTTGATTCTGAATACCCATTTATTTTGAAGTGCCTTCTTGCCTGCCGGAAGCTTAGTAAGAACCCATGTCTTGTTCTTGTGTAAGGCACCCATTTCTTCCTTCATAGCCTGCTCCCACTGAAATGAATCATTTAGCTTTACTGCTTCGAAGTAACGTTCTGGTTCTCCGTTTTCAGTCAAAAGAAGGTAATTGACTGATGGACTGAATCTTTGTGGAGGTTTAGTGACTCTAGTGGATCTCCTGACCCAGTGTGTTTCAACTGGTTGCGGCTGCACGGGTGAAGGTGCTCCTTCATCCTCTGAATTTTCACTATCAATAGAGTCTTCGTGATCATCTTCTGGAATCATTCTCCATGCTCCCACTGCCTTGAGTATCTTCAGACTCCTTGTTTCTTCTGATGACATCATTTTCAAACTCAACTTGCTCTTTCTGAATCTTTGAGTTTGTTGTGTTTCTGTCTTTAAAAAGTTCAGCCTCGTTGAATGTAGCATGTTTACTTCTGACTACCTTTCTAGTTTCAAAGTCCCAAAGCCGGTAACCCATGATGTCTCCCCCGTATCCAATGAAAGTGTATTTCTTGACTTTAGCATCTAACTTGTCACCATCTTTCAAAAGATCATAAGCGTTTCATCCAAATACCTTTAAATGTCCATACTTCACTACTTCTCATTTCCACTCTTCCTTCGGTATTTTGAAACCTAACGGTTCTAATGGCCCCCGGTCGATAAGATAAGCTGCAGTGTTCATTGCATCAGCCCAGAACGTCTTTGGAAGCCCAACATTAAGTCTCATACTCCTGGCTCACTCATTCAAAGTTATGTTCATCCTTTCTGCCACTTCGTTCTGTTGAGGAGTCCC